GGGGGGGGGGACCCCGGGAAGCAGAATAGAAAGCTGGGTGCTTAGGACAGAGCTTCCCGTGCCTTTGAGAGCGTCCTCTGCTTGCTCAACCTGACATCCCAGCTCCCCGTCATCGCCCCTCAGACATACTCGTCATCCATGTATATTTGAGTCATGTCTTTTAAAGAAATGTCTGTCCATCCCTGTGTTGTGGTTTGCAAAGCAAAAAGGGCACTTTTGTCCGGGAAGGTGGCGCTCGGCCGACCAGGTCAGGATGTCTGAAAGTAAAGGCGGTGTGATGACTCTTGCAGGTCTGTGACGAGAAGCTACTACCGAGGAGCAGCCGGCGCCCTCCTGGTCTATGACATCACCAGGTAATACACACGCCCCGCGAAAGAGCCACCCGCCCTGCGCACGAGCCCGCCTGTCCGGGTGCGTGGTGGGTGGTGGGTCTGGGGATCAGGAAGCCCCTCGCCCTGTCCACGTGGGGCTTAGAGGCCTTAGAACCAGCTGCCTTACCGTGTCAAGAAATGCTTGTCGAAGCGTCCCCGCTGATTATTGTGCTGAACGTGATGCTTTGACACGCGGCTCACAGGTGTAAATGTCTAGAGTTAACCATGTTGGTCAAGGTGGAGCGCACAGCCTGGGCTCCTACCACTGGGGTTCAGATCGCAGTTTGGGGTGACCCACGGAGTGGTGTCCTCGGCGTGTGCTCTCTCTCCACGGCGGCCTCCCCGCCTGTTACTTGGAGACCCAGTGACCATGGACTATTCCTGAGGTTACTGGGCGGTTCCGTTGGTCAGTAAAAAACTCCCGGCCCATCACGGGGCTCTGAATCCTGGTGTGTAACCTGTCACCCACATGTCGCAATTACATTAAAAGTTCTGTCCCTTGGTCTCACCACCTTTTAAGTACTCGTAGCCATTTGTGGCCGGTGGCTGCCATACTGGGCAGTGCCAATGGTAGAACATTCCTGTCGTAGCAGAAATCCCATCAGTGTTGGGGTTCATTTAGCACCACCTAAAATCTGTGCAATAGGGTAGGATGGGGCCCCCTTTGGTAGAAACTGTCCTGTGACAGGGCCTGCTGCCCTGACACCCACCTAGTGTGGGTCCAGGGCCGGATGCCAGGGGGTACCCTGGAAGGTGGGCAGCCGCCAGATTTCCCAGGGGCCGCCAGGCTCAGCTCACTGCCATGGAAGACCCCAGCTCCCACAGTGTGCACGGTCCCTGGACACAGGAGGCCGGAGAGGGCAGCCTGAGAGCTGGCCTGTGTCCACAGACCTGTCTCAGTTTGGGTGACCTTGGGGAACGTCGCTGGGCCTCAGGTTTCTCATGGCAAAGGGAGGAGTTAGCGAGGCTGAGTCACGAGTCCTTCGAGAGGGTCAAGGCAGTAAGTCCCCATGACTGGGCACCACGCGTGGCAGGTGCACTTCGGGCAAGTCATCGGGAGGCCCTCTCCTGCCGCACTTGCTGAGCACTCAGAAGTCTTTAAAACAAGCGCAGGAGTTGGTTTCCTTTTGCACCCCATCTGGGAAACAGCAAGCAACAAAGTGTCTGACTTGCTGTTTCATTTCTCTGGGAACAAAACGAAGCCAAGCCCGAGGTGTGCACTGGGACCACGCCGGTGTCCAAGGTATCTGGGTCACCTTCGAGGTCGCTGGCGCTCCCCTGACATGTTTAAAAAGCAGTGTGAGTAGTGTGAGTGACTGGAATGAGTTGCTGGTTTTATAAAATACATGTATTATTTTCGCAATCTTATATTACACAGCCGAGAAACCTACAATGCGCTTACTAATTGGTTAACAGATGCCAGAATGCTAGCGAGTCAGAACATCGTGATCATCCTCTGCGGGAACAAGAAGGACCTGGATGCTGACCGGGAAGTCACTTTCCTAGAAGCCTCCAGGTTTGCTCAAGAAAATGGCAAGTGACCTCTCTTTACCTGTTGCTGCTTCTCAAACACAGACTTGGGGGCATTATTGCTTTGAATTTAAAACACTAACTGGAGTGTTAAGAGCAAACTGTATGAAGAAAAGTGCAACTCCTGTCTTTCCTATATAGTTTTGTAGACTTATTTAGCATGTTTTCACTGTCTGTCCACAAAGTTATTATAATGGTATAAGCAAATGCATTCATATTTGCTAATGACTGTGTAATGCAGAATATGTGGCTATTCGTGGTCTTGGTTTAACTTGAGAGGTACAGCAGTTGGCTTTATTTACTTTAAACGTAAGTCACTTGGGTATTGATGCTTTTGACGCTTTTGTCCACTTCCATGTAGAATACATGAAGGTGACACAAAATTAATGTTTGCATATAGATGATGAAAGAAGGATTCAGTTATTTTTAGTACTTTGTATTTTTAGAGCCAGTCACGAATTGAAATATCCTAATAACCATTTGGACTCTGGGGCTTACTTTCTGTTAAGAAAATAAATTGAGAAAAACATAAGCTGTTATGAATTTGTAAGGAAAGTAGAGATACAAAATGTATACAAAAATGTAGAATGTTAGTGCTCAGAAGGAGTGTAGGGGTCACTCAGATGAGCCTCATTTTTACAAGTGAGGGGCAAGCACCTATGGAGGCTGAGGCCGGCCACCAGGACCATGGGCAAGGCCCTGGGGACAAGAAGAGAATGGGTTGGACTCTCAAGTCAGAATGACAGTTAGCACTATGGTCACTGCCAATATGTAAATGCATGTGGGTTTTATACATATGTGTATGTGGGTGTATGTGGGTGTTGACATGAAGATGATTTGGAGAAGGAAAGGCTACTTATATTGACAGCTGGATCCAGCCAGCCTGGTTCCTGACCAGCCACTGCTGTTTGCTGAGTTTCTTCAGCAGACCTTAGTGCTAGCACAAGCTACTCATTACTTGTCCAAAAATGTTATATAATTCCAACATCTGAAAAAATATATTGACATTTATTGGTTTTGCATTGGCATAATGCATGGTTTTATGTAAGAAATAACATGTATCTGCCATTCTAAGAGATCACTGACCAGGCTATTGATAATTGAATAATATGAGTGTCCTCTAAATATGGCTTTATGTTTTGTTTTGTGTCAATTTTAGAACTGATGTTTTTGGAAACAAGCGCACTAACAGGGGAGAATGTAGAAGAAGCCTTTGTACAATGTGCAAGAAAAATACTTAACAAAATTGAATCAGGTAAAAGACTTTCCACAAATGGAATTTTCTTCAATATGTTACTTTCTAGTTTGATAGCTTCACTTCTTAATGTTTCCAGCAGTGATTTGGTCAAAGGGTTTTCTCCATCTTTGAGTTTGATGGTCCTGCCTGTGTGACTGAGAGGAAGCCCACCCTCTTTCATAACGGCTCCATGGCCCCATTAATGAAGGATTTTAGGTCATGCTGCACATAGGAATTTCTGGGTACATCACATGATCCTGGTGCTAGTATATTGGGCATCCTGGGGAATGTCTGAAGTTGAGTACATCTCAGTAGTAATCTATCTCATCATTAAATTTGTTGCTTCAGTAAAAATAAATTTAAAGTAGTCCTGATTTGGGTAGCTGAGAAAGTACTGTGTAATTGTTATTTATTAACAATTAATTTTGGGGCCTTCCCTGGTGGCACCATGGGTTAAAGCTCAGCACTATTAAGCTATTAAGCTATTGCAGCCACTACAGCTCGAGTTCGATCCCCAGCCCCGGAAGTGACCCATATGGCTCAGCAGACCTCTCCTGACCTGCCCGCTGCTCCCCTCAGCAGTGTATTTCAGTAGATCTGCCTGTTCTGCTCCCCACTCTGTCTCCGGGAAATCCTCTCACCCACACACACCTCTGGACTGTACCCCAGTTCTGTATGCATAAATAAATCTTTTTTTTTAATTTTTAAATAAATAAAGTTAATTTTTATTTAGATATTACTGAAATGATATGTGGGCACTTGCCTTTTAACTGATTCATTCAAATATCTGAATGCCTAGTCATTGTGAGATGCTGAGTTAAAAGTGAGTCACTTGTCTTTTGGGGGAGACAATGAAGAAATGATGTTAAAGTGGTCTTATCAAGATAATAATTGAGAGGAATGCAGGATCTTGGGGCCACAGAGAAGAGGGGAGCCTGTCCAGCCAGGCCGTGGCAAATGGTGTCAGGGAGGGCTCCCGAGAGAAGGTGATGACTGGACTCAGGCTTTCAAGATAAGAGGAAGAGTGAGCCAGCCATGGGGTGATGAGGAAGGTAGATCAGCAGAGGAGACAACCTGAGTTGAGACTGGCAGAAAATGACTGCAGGTCACAGTTACCAGAACAGAAAGATACTCTACAGACATCGGCCAGAGAAATTAGAAGCAGCAGCGTGGCCAGTGAATCTCATCACAGAACTTAACCTTGTGGGTTCCTAAGTTTCCACCCTGGCTGTACCTGAGGTACTTACAGAATTAAATACTTAGGCCCCACCCTGGAGATGCTGGATTAAACGAGCTAACCTACAGCTTTGGCTTCATTTTCAAAAGCTCTCTCAGATGATTGATCCTGTGTTCATCCAGGATTGAAAACCACTACCATAGGGGCAGGACACCATTCGTGGCAGTCAGCAGTGAGTGATGGGGTCAGGTGTGACTCGAGCTAAATCATGGATGTAGGAGGCCATGTCAAGTTCATGTTGAAAGAGAGCAAGGCCAGGGTATCAATGACTGGGCTTTTGAGTATGCCAAGAAAAAGGTGACTAAGACTTTCAAAAGGATGTGGCAGTAGACATGCATCTGAGAAGTATTTTGGTGGCAACATCATGATTCACAGGCGAAATTGTAGAGCCATCCACTTGATTTTGGGGTTATGGGGTTAGCAAGAAAAGAAAGAGTTAAAGATGCCAAGATGTCATATCTGGGGAACTCAGTTAAGAGATGGCATTGAGCCAGAGGGGAAGCAGGTAAACGGAATAAAGATGATTCTGGATTGGATGTGTTCCCTTTGCAGTAACAGCAGGGCACTGCTTGGTGAGTGTGCTCTGCAGTCTGGAATTCTGGGGTGGTAACATACATTCAAGAGCCATCAATTTATGGGAGTAGTTAAGACTATGGAATCCATGTAATCTGCTAGCGAGCAGTTGAGAGGGCAAAGAGCAGGGATCAAACGCAAATCCCTGGAGACTGATGGGTGAGCAGAGAAGGAGGAGCCCACAAGAGAGAGAAAGAAGGAAATGGTCGGGTATCTGAAGAGAGCCAGGGGAAATGGGCATTCTACAGCAGTCAGCAAGTTCGTTCATTATCAAATGCAACAGAGAAAAACCTCTTAAGCCAAAAGCCGAGCTAGAAGATATCCATTGGGGTGGGCAAGAGGAAGTCACTGGTCATCTTTTTCAAGCACACGATGTGGTAGGAAGAGAGGTGGGGGGAAAGGAGAAAAGGATGGGAGAGGAGAAGACAGAAAGTAGGGCCTGGTGAGGTGGGAGACAGTCAAGGACCCAGGTGGCTGGTCTCAACGAGAGAAAGAAAGACACCTCATCTTTGAGTATTTTCTCAGTTTGAAAACACAAACATTTTTACTAAAACTTTTTTAAAAAATTCTTTTAAAGATGCTTAAAGTTAAAATTCATTTGATATTTAGTATTTTTAAGCTCAACGTGGCATTTTATTTTAATTACTTTGTTACTTTAACATTGCATCCCTGAGTGTAACTGATGTAAGTTGACTCAAAACTCAAAACTTTTAAGACGTATTTTTTCTGAGATCCTGAAAATCATAATTACATCTCAGTACAAAATATAAAGTTAGAAATGAAAATTCTTTAGCACCTCTTTTTCATTTTAATATCCTAAAAAGATAATACATTCATACGATTTTAAAACCATTATGTCCTTCTCCTTCTTTTTTTACACAAAAGTTAAACTGTAAACTTTGCTGCATCTTATTTCTTGTACTTACTATTCCTGCAGATTACTCCAAATTAATAAGAACAAATACATGCATGTACATATATGTGTGGTATATTCCATTGCTTGTTGTTATGATTTACTTAACCAGCTAGCCTGGACATTTGGGTTGTTGCCAGCATTGTGCTGTCACAAGCAACATTGCAGTAAATAACCCTTTACATACCATCTCACACGTGTGTGTAGGGGACAAATCTCCACCAATGGAACCGTTGGCTCAAAGAACAGACACGTGGAATTTAGGTAGAGACTGTCAGATTCTCCTGTGAGCATTACAGCAATTTGTGATCAAAAAGCCCTTGTTGAAGCAACGCTATGCCCCTAGGGTGTGTTTTCATGTTTGGGTTTTCACCAAACTGACAAATAAAATTATGGTGTCTTTATAGCTTCATTTTACATTAATTTATCTTTGTTTACATACTCACGTAACTCCACATTGAAAAAGCACAAAACAGGCTACCGGGAGAGTCACCCTCTGTGGCCACCCTGCCCTGTCCTCCAATGCCTGGAACTCCTCGGAGCCAGCCACTGCCACCACCAGTTCCTCATGGATCTTTCCAAAGATCGTCTCCCGCCTGTGCAGGCAAACATATATGTACATATTTTTTCCTCTTGATTTAAAATGGTGGTATAAATCCAGTGTTCTGCACTTTGTTTTTTCACTTAATATATGTGGGGAATCACAGAAATGGAAACCGCTTTTAAAAGAAGGCTTGCTTGGCCCCTAGGTGAGCTGGACCCAGAGAGGATGGGCTCAGGCATTCAGTACGGAGATGCAGCACTGCGACAGCTCCGGTCACCGCGGCGCTCCCAGGCCCCCAGCGCTCAGGAGTGCGGCTGTTAGAGCAGCGGGAGACACAGGTAGGTGCCTCCTCGTGGGGCTTGACCAGCACGCTGTGCTCTGCCCAGGCGCCACGTATTCTTAACACAGGTGGTCATTCTTTTTTTGCAACTACAGTTATTAAAAAGAGAGGGAGAGGGGGCTGCATAATTAAAGTTCAGTATTTCTAACAACAGTAGAAATCACATTCATTCTCAGGCTCGCGGAACATTCACGAAAATGGAGCACGCTTTAAGCTTAACACATTTAAAAGACTAGAAATCATATATTTTTGGTTCCCAGATAACAATAGGATTAAAGTAAAAATCAGTAACAGAACCATAACTAGAAAATCCAAAGCAGTGGAGATTAATGAGCACACTTCGAAATAAGAAGAGGGTCAAAGACACCACCAGACTGGCAGACACTGTGAAGCTACAGTAATCAAGACAGTGTGGACTGCTCAGAGAGTAAGCAGATAACTCAACAGAACAGAGCCCAGAGTAGCCTCAGGTCAGTGTGGTCAACGGTCTTTGACAAGGAAACACATGTAAGACAATGACGTGAACACAGTCTTCAGCAAATGATTCTGGAACAGTTGACACCCACAAAGAGTGACTCCAGACATACCTTACCCTCGTCACAAAAAGTCATCCCAAAAGAATCGTAGGCCTAGACGTAAAATGGAAAGCACGGGCCCTCCCTGGTGGCGCAGAGGCTTAAAGCACAGCACAAAGAAGCTTAAGCCACTCCCTCATGAGTTTGATTCCCGCCTGCCCCGAAGGTGTCCACATGGCGTGGCAGACCTCTCCTGACCCGCCCGCTGTTCCCCTCAGCAGTGTACTTCGTCGATCTGCCTGTTCTGCTCCCCACTCTGTCTCTGGTGAATCCTCTCACCCTCCGCATCTCTGGCCTGTACCCAGTTCTGTACGAATAAATAAATAAAATCTTTAAAAAAAAAAATGTAAAGCACTCCCCAGAGTAAGACAGGAGGAAACCTAGATGGCCTTGGGACAGCAGTGACCACACCAGAGGCACAGTCCCTGAAATAAAGAATTCATGAGCTGACTTCATTACACTTTAAAACCATTGCTCATGTAAAACAATGACAAGAGAATGAGACGACAAATCACCGAGTAGGAGAAATACTTCCAAAAAACACATCCCGTAAAGGACGGTTACCCAAAACATGCAGAGAGCTCCTGGAACTCAGTAAGAAGAAAAACAGGCCTAAGACCTTACCAGACCCCTCACGAGAGATGCACTGATCACAAAGAATGGGTGGGAAGGTGGTCATGTCATCATGAAGACAAAGAGACCCACTGCACACCTGTCAGAATAACCAAAATTCTGGCACTGACAACCACATGTTGGTGAGAAAGGGGGGCAGTAAGGGTCCAGGCAGGTGCTGCTGGTGGGGACCCAAGTGGCCCAACCCCTTTGGAAGCCAGCGCTTTCTGCAACTGCCCTGACTACATGACATCACCACTTGCTGTTTACTTATGTCCACACAACATCCTTTATTTGGATGCATATAGAAACCTTGTTTCTAGTTGCCAAAACTTGGAAGCAACCAAGTTGTCCTTTGGTAGGGTCAAGGACAGACTGGTATACCCAGACCACTGTGGGCTGTTGCCCAGCACTAGAAAGAAGTGAGCTATGGAACCACAAAAAGCCCTGGAGGAACCTTCAGTGCCAACCTGAAAAGGCTTCTCCACAGCAGACAGTGCCAGCTATATGGCATCCTGAGAAAGGAAAGACAAGGGCAAGAATGAAAGATCAGTGGTCACCAGGGACTGGATGGTCGTGAAGGAGAGGCTGAACAGTGTCTTTCAGGCAGTGAAAATCCTCTAACACCATGTGACAAATCCACGTCAGATCAGAAGCCACAGTCAGTTCTGCACCGGGAGTGAACCATGATGTGGATGGTGGGCTTTGGGGGGCTACAATGTGCTTGTCGTGGACTCATCAGGATAGCAAATGTCCCGCAGGGGATGTTCATTTGGGGGTGGGGAGGCTGTGCATGTCTGTGGGCAGGCATCTATGGGAAATCTGTGTACTTTCCCTCGATTTTGCTGTTGAACCTAGAACTGCCCTACAAATTAACTCCTAATAAGAACGAAATGCCAAAGCAACCATTCAAAGGATACAACAAAGATTTTTGACTAATAAGCCAGGGAAGGAATGGAAATGGAGCGACTACATATTTAATCGCAGTACTCAGTCAGAAAGAAAGCAGAAAAAGAGAGAAACAAAAAGTTTGATGGTTTGTTTGAAGAAATTTACTCTCTAGGAAATTCATCTGGGCTTGCTGGGTGAGAAAGGTAGAGCAGTTGTTTGTGGGAATTACGAAGACAGATTCTCCTACCTTTACATCAGGGAGGAGCGATTCCTGCGTTAACTGAAGTCTCGGTGACTGTTGCCAAAATCAAATGCCTATTTATAAAATTTGCACATGGGAGATTTTTTAACTTGAGAAAGCTTCCTCTCTTGCTCACGTGGCCTTTGTATGTGATAAATATTATCAAGTGGCCTTAAGTAGAGGTGGGGTGCATTCACTAACTCCCTTTGGGACTGTTAGATCTACTTGTTTGTTCTCTCATACTTACACAAATTCCTAAATTGTTCTTGATGTTTTTTAGGTTCATACAATGGTATTTGAGACACAATGGTTGGAACTTGAAGAACCTGAAGTTTTTTATCACCATCTTTTTCTACTTTATACAGAAGTAGATCTTTGTGCAAAAAAAAGGAAAAAATAGCCTGGGTTGTTATACGAATTAGTAGATATGGCACAGCAAACCATATAATAAATCTAATCAGTGGGCAGCCACACTAGATGTACACATGTATGTAAACACTTCTGTTCCATATTTTCCCTCTCCTCCTCGGTTGAACTCCTGGCTCTGCGCTGTACATATTCCAGCCCAGGTCTCTGCAGCATGGTATCTGATGTTTGATCAATGGAACTTGCACTAAACGCACTCTGATTTTTTTTTTTTTTAATCATGTGAACCAAGACTTGTTCATTGTGAGGTGTGCTCTGCTCATCAACGTTGCTTACAAGGCCAGTCAGTTCTATTTATGACTGAGGCTCAGAGACACTGGCATCCAAGCCAGGGCAGTACAACTGAGCTCTGCTTCCCACCGTCCACAAGGCGTTGACATGAGCCACGCTTGAAGTAGTAGATCAGTAGGTAACTCACAAAGCAAAATAAAATGAAAAATTGAGTCTTTCCACGAACATTACACTGTCCAGCACTCTGTTGATTTTAAAGCATCTCTGTCCAGATCCATCAGGAAGTGTAGGCAGGGCGCCTGCTCTGTTTGAGACACTAAGGATTCCGCACTTTAACCAAACTTAGTCTGCAACGGATTCTACCCTCAACTGTCAGTCAGTGCAATAGACCAAGTCGCTTGGGGTTACTCGTCTGTTCCCAGTTTGCTGACCTGGTCTCCCTGCTACAAAAACATGTTGTTTACGACTGTGCTTTTCTGGGTTTCAACATTACAGTATCACTGCCTCTTTTTAAGTCTTTGTGTTTTGTGTTTATCTGAAGGAAACCTACTAAATCAAGTTCATATTAAAGGGATACCATTCCTTAGGCAATTTCTGTAGTGCTTTTGCCAAATACTTACATGCCTTACCACAATTATCAAGTTGACATATTTTTACTTCCCATAAGGTATGTTGAAATATAATATATATTGTATTACAAAGATGTGTTCTAATATTTTACAATGTTAATGCAAAAAATAGGTGTAGAGTTTTTTCCTTAAGGTTGAAATACAGCATTTAAGACTGCAAGGTCAGAAAGGCCATCTGATCTATAAGCGCTAGCACTGTGACTTGTCAACTGAGACTGACTGGCACATTTCATCACTGTTGAGTTAGTTAGAAGTTCCTACTGCTTTTTGTTGTTTTATTTTCATCAACAGCAAAAACTCTGGGAAGTAATTTTAAAAACATACAGATATCAGTACATATCTTTTTAGCTCTTTTAATTTTGCTTTTATAATGCCTTATTTTCTTTTAAGAAATCCTAATATGAAGCAAATACCCAACCTAAACTACTTCTTGGGCCTTGCTGGAAGAATTGTTTCATTTACTGTTTCCTTTATGATACTTCTGCAAGCTGCTCATTTGTGAGCAGTTTCTTGCCTGGGCTAGGAATATGTCCATGTGACATCGGTTTGTTCAAAAGCAAGAAATTTAAAAAGAAGCAAATTGTCAACTTGGCTTATAAGTGAAACTGTTCATTAAACCGCAGGTATACCGTCCCTGCCTTTGGCTGGTAAAAGTTGCTAGAGAACCGGGGACAGTGGTTCTTAATAAAAGGCCTTTAGGGAAAAAAATGAAGAGGGGAGCTGATTTGGTATTAGGAAATTCAAAGGGTTTAGGAACTTGGGGAAGAAACCAAATATATTTCTTATTCCAAGGTTAATCTAGGGAAAAGCATCATACATACGTTGCCCACAATTTAAGTCTTCTTGATGCTCTTACTTTACATTTCTAGAAAAGTATTTCTTCAGTCTTCTTAGAAAGATTCTAAACTCCACTTAGACTTGAGACTGTAATTTATTTTTTTCTAATCCAGGATTTACAAGAAAATAAGAACATCAGGATTTAGGGATCCTTAATGATTTTATTGAAAACTCAATATCTGTGAGTGAAGTAAGAATTTTTGAGGAATCTTTCAGAACATTGATCCCTAGCCAGTGAGCATTCTCCAATGCTCAAATCAGAACCTTAAATGATTTGCTGTTCATACTGTGACACCATAGGTAGGTCTTCATTCCATCAAATTCACTTCTTTCTTTGAAAGGGAAATTAGACTTTAAAACACCTGTAAGTTTTTAATCATGTTTTGTACCAGTTGTAAAGTGAGTCTTACTTTCTGTTCATGTACCTATGCCTACCTGTCAATTTACAGACCACTTGGGCTGGTTTCCCATTTTGCTTGGCACTCCCAATTGGGCTAGCTTCTTTGATGACCTGTTTCTAGAATTTTAGAGGAGTTGATCTGAGAACACTCAGCCTGCCAGTTACAAAAAGACAGTGACTGAGTAAACTTACCCATCACCCTCTGACTTTTACTGCTTACTGCTAGAAAATACTGGAAGCAGAGTTTTTGTTTTTGTTTTGTTTTGTTTCTTTTAAAATAGCATTGATAGGCTTTTCAGGTTCTTATTAAGGAAGTTTTCAAACATGCACAAGTATGGAGAAAACCACCCAGCAAGCCACAGTAAGATCCAGCTTCAAAAATCATCCACATTGAGCCAATCTTGTTTTATCTACATTTACCCACTTCTTTTATGCTGTAGTATTTTAAAACATCCAAAGCATCTGTCATGTCACCCAAAAATAGTCCAGTGTTCATCTCTTTAATTTTTATAATCACTGTCTCTGGAAATTTCTTAAATACAAGGCCAGGAATGGTTATGCTTTTTCTTATCTTGCAATTATAAAAGGTTGATTTTCTAAAACATTGAAAAAGCAGACTGTACATCATTCATACAGTGTTCCTGTGGTTATTTCCTGGCACGCAGCCATTTGGACCAGAACCGCTATCCGCTGGCGGAGAGGGAGTCAGACCCCCAGCAGGGCCGGCCTGTCCTCACCCGCCAGCACAGGCATCTGCAGAGATCCCGCCGCAGGGGCTGACTGTTCAGTTTCAGTTTCGCCACAGCCAGCCTTCCATGAAGTAGACCAAATCCGAACCCTCTCAGCCTGCGTACATGCCATTACGAAGAATGTATTTGACTTTGACGCATGCATTTCGTCACACTTGGATGCACGCTCACCAAGTAGGCGTGATGGAGCCACATCACTCGCAGTCAGAGGACGGTCCTTCGCCTTCTGCGGGAGCCGAAGCAGAAATAGACAAACGTCCCGGACACCTCCTCTCTCTGACTTGTGAATGTGGCGTGTAAATTTCCTTTTGAAGAAGACCAGAATTAAGGGAAACAAACTTGCTAAATTTCGGAATATTTCATATTCCAAAATATCCTGGAAATAATTCTGATCACTAAATGTTTAAGGACCGACTGTGTATGAGTGTAAAATGTGAATTTCTGCAGATTGGGTGGGATATCCTCAAATCATTTCCCATGGAATAGGACACTTTGTCAGGTGGTTCCTTCAGGATAATACTACCACGATTCCCCTTTCTAGAAAGTCGTCGTGTTGGCTTGTGTGGCCATAAATGCCATGCCCTCATACTCTGACCATTTCCCCCGGGGGAAATGAGGCTTTAAAACACCCGTGCATTTCTCTGGACACCCCCAGCCACCACATCACCACACAGGCTGTGCCTCCCTCACCTGTCACCCCGAGGCCTCCCGCTGACTCTCCAGGTCTGTCGTTCCATAAGGAGCTGCGTAAACCTCTGTCTGGAGCTTCTCTAACCTCCCACCCCAGAAGATGCAGACACTCTGCCCCATCAGGCTCTGTCTTAACGTTTTCAGTGTGGGTCACCTTGGTCTCCACTCAGCCCTCACATGTCCCCTGCACGCCGCTAAGGCAGCCCAGGCCAGGGCAGCCTTCTGTGTGCCTGCTCCTAGCACCCTCGGAGGCTCCAGTGAGCTTGGGAAGAGCCGATGATCAGAGTCAGGCGTGTCCCCACGCCTCTCTAAAGTACCTGGGTATCCAGCTGTTCACTGCAAGATCCCTTTGTACAAAAGCTTCAAAAGGGAACAGGATTCTATTAAATCCTCTCTGTCCTAGGAGCAAGTTTCCTAACTCCTAGAGCCTTCTTTTTAGGTGATGTCACCCAGCATCACCCCCAGCCTCCACCCTTTCCCTCTCACAAAGATCAACAGACATGTATTCATGGCCAGACAGGCTGCGGCAGGGCTCAGGCAGCCACTCAAGAAACTGGCAGCACAGAGGAACAAGAGCCCTGGAAATGATTCCACTTGCCTGCACCCCCGACCCCCCCCAGGTGGCATTGCTCAGTACTAGAGGGAAAACTCAGCTAGGGAAGGGAGAGCTCATGAGCCCCCCGCTCCCCCAGCCTCTCCAGCACCACACAGGATGCACTTCAGTGTATAAAGGACCAGCAACAAGGAGGCCAGGCAGGGGCGCCCGACTCGGCCTGCAGGAGGTGCAGCCAGACCTTCCAGCCGCTGTAGAGAAGCCCCACTTCTTCCACCAATGGGAACCCCAGTGCCTGCACACCAGCCACAGGTCCCCTGTGGATTTCGCCCCGCAGGTATCCCCATTAACGGGCCCAGCTGCCTGACTGCCTTCTGTTCCCCCTCTAGAACCTGGGATCTGCAGGCAGCCCAACCAGCCCTTGCAGGCACATAAGCACAAGAGGCCAACCTCCACCTCAAGGCCGACCCCATGGCACGTACAGACTGTGGCTCACCCCTCCGGCTCTGCACTGGCAGGTCTCCAGCCTGACTCCTCCTCAGCCGGTCCTAGCACACCATCACCCAAGCTCTGGCTGCCAGTAAGAACAGATTTAGCCTTATTTCCATCACTGGCCTGCATCTGGGATCATTTGCAGCTAGCCCCACAGAGCACCTGCACGCCTCTGTCCCAGTATGCCCCTAGGGAGACAGTGTAGCTAGAAGGGCACACGACACTAGAGCCCCCCACAAAGGTTCATGGGTCCACACTCAGCTCTGGCCTCCGTCCTGGCCCCGGCTCGCACTCCACATGTGTGTCTGTGTGGGCCCCTGCCACGGCGAAGGCACCCGCCGCTGCCCCACAGCCAAGGGTCTCCTGCTGTGGTGCCCCCTTGACCAGTTGGTGCCGCTGAGGCCCTTACAGCCACCACAGACTCCTGTAGGCATTTGCCAAAGGCCACACAGTCAACACCGTAGAACTCAGTGGCCTAACAGAACAGCGCGTCTCCCCTACCCCAGACCTGGACTTGGCAGTCTGCACCACCAGCCTGCCCTCACCCACAGGTGAAGGGTTTGTCCCTCCAAAGTCAGGCCATGAACAGGGACAGAGGGATCCCTGTTCATATGCACAGACACTGGTGCAAGGCCACAGGTATCACAACCAGGGAGATGACAGTGTCAAAGGAGCACAGTAAATACCCAGGCCCTGGCCCCAAATACACGGAGAGATGAACTGCCTCACCAAGAATTGTAAAACATTGTTCTGTGCTCAAGGAACTGCAGGAGAAGACAAAGAAACAAGATCGGGAAAGCTGCACAGGAACAAAATGAGAAGCTCAAAAGAGAAAGTATAAGACGTTTTGGACTGAAAGTCATAATGAGTGAAGAAAAGGAGTCAATAGGAAGCAGCCTGGACCAAGCAGGAGAAAAAGTTGGTGAGCTCCAAGACAGAGCTTTGGAAATGATGCCGTCAAAGAAAACGGAAAACAGAATGAAAGGCATCAAGGAGGCCTCCGGAACTTAGGGGCCGACACTGAGAGACAAGGCCTGCACCACCAGGTCCCAGAAGGAGGGGGCAGGGAAGGCATGTAAACGACTTCCCCAACCTACAGACACTTTTGTACATCCAAACCCATGAAGCTCCTAAGTCACCCCAGAATTTCAGTCCAAATCTGTCTTCTATCAGAAGTACAATAAAGCTGTCTCAAATAACTCCTACAACATCCTGCTTCCTTTTGAGTTATTCGCGCAAGTGTACAGTTACCCACTCACCTTAGCTGACATTAAAGGGCTCGGAGCTTTTCATTTAGGCTACAGGCCTGGTTGAATTATTGGAGTATTTGGGGGCACTCTGGGCACTCTTCGTTGGCCTCTTGGTCCCTAAGTTCTCTCTCTGGGGATCATTTGCTGTAAGAGCAGAGCTGTGGGCTTGAGGGCCATCAGGAGCAACTGAGGATGTCATTGTCAACAAACCTCTTCTCAGGCCTGGACGTGCTGTGGGCGAAACTTGCCCAGTCCCCGCTCTCTTGATGACACACAGTTACAGCAGGCGGCTGTGTGGGAGCAGAAGCGGGGTCTATAATTAGGCCTTAAAAACCTAGTACCTGTCACCTATTCACAGGAGTCACAGAGGAATGGTGAGGAATAGTTTTCCTACTCTTAGATTAAATGATGTTGTCTGCTACTTTCGAAGTTCGTGTTCAATTTTGGTTGTTTGTACATTTTTACCTGATTGTGCAAACTGTAGCCCTGTGGGGGCCATGAGAATTTCACTTTTGCTCTTAGAGAAACTCAATTATGGGGTGTTCCTGACCAGGTGGGGCAAGCTTACTGCAGCCCTGATCACAGGACAGTATTTAAGGCCTATCTGACGATTCTGTTTTTAAAAAGAGCTTATTGGAGAAATTGCTGGAGAATTTTCATTGTAACACGTTCCTCATGTTTAATATTATCAACTGAAATCTCTATAATAAAACTTGGAAGGGGGCTAGCACTTTTTACAACTTAAAAGTATTCTTCCATTTAACATCCGATTTAAACTTCAAGACAACATTCACCATGGTACATAGTGATGTCAGCCTGTCTCACAACTGGGGTGCAAGAGACAGAGGCTGGGGGCCAGCCCCTCAGGAATGTACCCCTGGCCCGGCAGCCCCCCACAGGCACTGCTGTACAGTTGAGAGAAATCCTGGGGTGTCTGTTGACTGCATTCTCTTTGTCCCTCAAATTGTATGCAGTTTTCAAACACTGCATTTTAAGAAGTAAGCAAGTTTTACCCTGGTGAGTGTTTTCTATTTTTAAAATGCCTTTTGAGCTGAATTGTTAGAAGTAGGAATAAGTAGATCTCATCCCAGTAGAAGCATGTTCTGATTTAAAGGAGAAAAACATTGCCACTTTGACCACTGACCTCTGGGTTTTTTTTTTTTTTTTAAGACTTATTTATTGATGCCTACAAGAACTAAGGTACAGGCCAGAGGTGAGGGGGTGAGAGGACTCACCAGAGACAGGGAGCAGAACAGGGGATCTCCTGAGATACACAGCTGAGGGCAGCAGCAAGCAGGTCAGGAGCGGTCTGCTGTGTCCTGTGGGTCACCCCCTGGCCGGAAAGGAGCTGACCTGCAGTGGCAGCAGATAGCTTCACAGTGCTGCAGCTTGACCCACTGGCTTTTTCGTCCCTGACTTTAGTAGATGGAAAGTATTCTAAGTCATAAATGGAAACACATGCTGAGTGGTTTTCAGACGCTGTCACAATCGCTTGTCCTCAGTGTCCAAAGCTGTCGGCACTGAAGTTGTTTGGAGGGAAAAGTGTCTCCTCGCCAGTTTGCACTGTTGCCGGGGACACCTGAGTCCCGCAGCCACATGCCACCCTGTAGGCCAGTAAGCTGCGGGCCCAGCTCTGCCGCTTCCCATCTCTGTTTAACTTAGTCCTGAATAAGCGCGTAGCAGGAAAATTTCATTATTCAGGATTGTTTTTACAGGATCTGTAACTTTCAAATGATTCCACCATACTCCTCCTCTTTCCAACCCCAAGGAATAGATTTGAGTTTAAGCTCTAGCCTGGGGCCTCTCTGCTGGCACAAGAGGTTTATTTATAGTTTTATTTACTTACAATGCTATAAGTATATAATATAAAAATAGTATTTAAGATGTAAATGTATGTTTATAAACCATTTCGCATTGAGCCTTGCCCAGGAGGTGATCCCATGAGCCATAACGCCAAACTGCCCTACAGAGAGCTTGTGCCATCTTACACTCCAAGCAGAGCAGGAGACCTGAACTTAAGTCTGCAACCTCCTTCTCAATGAAGGCTTATGTTTTGTCTTTCTTAAACTTAATCTTCTGCCATAAGTACTACATAATCATGAAGAAGGTGTCCTTTCAGGCCACAAACTGCAGAGCATGTCCCTGGAGTCCCAGGTCCCAGCATCCGGGAACAGCAGCCCCTGGGCAGGGACTTCAGTCCCGGTCCCTCTGAAAAGACTCGGTGAGCTGGGGCCTCCCTGATGGCGCAGGGGGTTAAAGTGCAGCACCGTGAGGCTATCAGAAGTCACTGCAGCACGAGTTCGATCCCCGGCCAGGGAGCTGACCCACATGGCACAGCAGACCTCTCCTGTGTCCCCCACTGCTCCCCTCAGCAGTGTGTTTCAGTAAGTCCACTTGCTCTGCTCCCCACTCTGTCTCTGGTGAGTCCTCTCATACCTCACCACCCCCACGCCTCTGGCCTGTGCCCCAGTTCTTGCATAAATAAAATCTTTAAAAAAAAAAAAAACTGGGTGAGCTTCAGGCACTCATCAAGCAGCTGTATTGTTAGATGAATAGACTCATACTAAAGTTTTACTGCTAGTACAGGGTGGGCACCTTAGCGTGGAGCTTAACAGACAGTCACAAAGCAGTTGCAATGTATTTGCCAGAAGAGGGGCATCAGACTCAGAGACCCTAACAAGTGAGACAGAGACCCAGCTTTTTTAAAAGGCTGTGTCCTTTTTTAGTTTTTCACCCATAAATCTAGAAGATTGGCACTGATGTGAGACCTGAAATCGGGCAGCAGAGGGGACCCCTCATGGCTTGTGGTGTTCTCACCCCTGCACTCACAATCGCAAATCACCACACAGGCCCCAGCTGCTACCACGGGGCTCATTACAGAGGGAGACCGGGGTAAGGAAGGCGTACCTTAGGCCACACGTGACCACTGTCCAGCCCTGTAGTGGCCAGTGGCCAGTCGCCCAAACCCAAAGCTACTCACGGGAGCCTGGAACCACAGCTCACTAGAAAGAAGGACTGGGGTGACTGGCTGCAACTAACCTGTGGCATCAGGGGTCCGTGCAGCTGCATCTCTCCCGAAAGTGGTCTGTCTCCACCTGAAGCACCTCCTAAGGTGTGTCAACCCTTCCTGAGTCACAGAAGCCTTCCCAGGCTGCTAATCTGGAACTGACCGACCTTCCCAGACGGACTCCCAGTCTCCTTGAAACCACCTTGCTATGACCCCTCAGGGCGCCGCCTTTCCAAGCTGATTGGCCCATTTTCCAAATCACCTTTTCCCCAGGACTTCACTGGTGCAGCTGGAGCTTGTGCCTAAGTGGTGTCCGTGGGTGCTCAGGCGTGTTGATGCTGTTTCCAAAACCAGCTGAGGATTCAACAGCCAAACCTTGCCGAACCTTGCTGCGCGATCAGCCTGCTGCGTCTTCTCTGGCGGGAGCCGAGCAGTGCGTGGGCTGTAGCTGCCACTTGGAGGCCCGGTGCACACCAGACCACGGCTCTCCAGGACTGTGGGCTGTTTCTTTCCTGAACCCAAGCGTGGCAGTGTCGGGGGTGGTCATCAGACCTGGCTGCCATGCGCAGTCCAAGCTGATGCTGCTCAGCTGTGGGGCCTGCGCCCTCAGAGGAACGGGAGCCATGAGGGCCGCTGTTGCAGGCCTTTTCTGGAACACACATTACTATAAACTTCCTGCTAAGGAGCCCAGACTTCTAGTGCTTGCAGCCTCCAGTGCGACTGGCCGCTTCTGTAACTGAGCCATGTCAGACAGGAGGAAAAACACACAGACTGGGCCTCACCGTTGGGCCAAGGCGGCATAGGAGAGAAGAGCCCTCCACCCATGTTAGCTCCTGCAGGCGCCCACAGGCAGCCAGAGGATTATCGGGGTGCCAGCAGGACAGATGAAGGAAAGAGTGGGGGCCAGGGTACATCTCCCCACTCTGTGAGCTTCAGCGTCTCCTTTTCTGTTCTCCATCCCAGCTCCTCCAGATAGGGACGCTGCCGGGCGCAGGTTGCCTCTGGGCTGTGTTGCATTTGTTGGGAGAATCCAGAGGGAGAACACCATGAAAAACTCCCCCCTCCAGCTGTCCCTAGACCCCAGCCTGTGTGGCTGTTCACCCCCCAGCATTCAGCCATGGCACGCACCCTCTGGTGCCACAGCTACATTTGGGGAGAGCTAGAGGAGGGTGTGTGACACTCACCTGGGCTCCCTACCTGGAACCCGAAACTTCCCTAAGATACAAAGTGAAAAATATATATATAGAATGTGTATAGCGTTGTTTCCTATTTGTGGGGGGGAAATGTTTGTATGGCTTCACAGTATATGTTAGAAAAAGTGTCTGCAAGTTTATAGATCAAACTTCACTCTGATTGCCTTCAAGATAGGGCCCTCCCTGCTGGCATTAGGGGTTAAGCACAGCACTATGAAGCTATCTGCAACCACTGCAACACAAGTTCGGTCCCCGGCCCGGAGGTGACCCACATGGCACGGCAGACCTCTCCTGACCCTCCCGCTGCTCCCCTCAGCAGTGTACTTCATGGATCTGCCTGTTCTGCTCCCCACTCTGTCTCTGGTGAAGCCTCTCACTTCCCTGCATCTCTGGCCTGCACCCCAGTTCTGTATGCACAAATAAATAAATCTTAAAAAAAAATAAGAAGGGTTTAGCAGGATAGAAATGGGTGGGAAGAGCACAGGGAACTAGGTGATGGTACACGGGTAAGTGGCGGTGGGAACTGCATGGGGACCACACAGAGAGAAAAAAGCATGCACTGTACAAAAATGAAAAAAGATGTTAAAAAATTCTTAATAAAAAAGAAGGGGTTTAGAATTTTAGTAGGAATATGGTATTGAAGGGCTCATTCCCTTTTACCTCTTTTTAAATTATTCCAAACATGCACTGTTACTTTTATAATTTTCAATATAAGAGAAGATATGAAGGGAAATAACAGAAAACATGTTTAGTTCAACTCAAATGTATATATAAAGTAGCTTTTCTGGGTGTATTTAATATATCATTTAAACATTTATCTAGTGAGAAATCACTTGGAGTCAGTTTGATCATAAATATTCTACAGCCACTGATGTATTAATCTGAGTTATTTCCCACAAAATTAGTAGTTTCAGCATGTATACTAACTTTATTCACATTTGCAATATTAAATATAACCTAAAAGCAATACATAGTGCTTAGAAAATACAACCCAAAATTCCCACTGCAGGAGCTTGGTGATTATAAGTGCCCTTTGTTCCTTCAGAATGTGAAAGAATGTGCAGTTCTCAAAATAAATTTCAGCACCGGGAGACTGTTCTTAAGTAGTTTTGCTAATTATAACAAAAAAAAAAAAAATTCCAAAAAGAGGCTTTGATGTCTTCATTCAGGTGTCCTGAATTTCAAAATGGAAATAAATATGAAAGGAACAACTTTTTCCCCATCTAATATTAGCAGGCTTGAATGGAGAAAATCTGGGTCAAAAATCTAGACAGAGCTCTTTGCATAGAATTTGGCTTTAAGCATAAACTTACAATGCATAACTCCTTATTTATCTCATTGTGCAAATATCCAATCTTAAAATGCAGATATTCTGAAATGACCAGGCTACATTTTTTAAAGATGACTTTTCAACTATTTAAATGATCACAAAATTATAGTAGGCATCTTATAGTCAGACATTAGCCATTTGATACCAAGAAGCTATAGAATCAGGCTACAAAAATATTAGTCCCATGTTTTAATCTAGTTCAGTAAAATATAAAACTATAACGACCCTCCTATAACTATAACAGCGGGTTAAAGCGCAGCACTAAGAAGCTAAAGCCACTTCAGCATGAGTTTGATCCCCACCTTGGAGGTGACCCACATGGTGCAGCAGACCTCTCCTGACCCGCCCGCTGCTCCCCTCAGCACTGTGCTTAGTCGATCTGCCTGTTCTGCTCCCCACTGTCTCTGGTGAAGCCTCTCACCTCCACTGCACCACTGGCTTGTACCCCTGTTCTGCATGAATAAATAAATCTTAAAAATAGGCCCTCCCTGGTGGCGCAGCGGGTTAAAGCACATTACTGAGAATCTGAAGCCACTTCCACATGAGTTCGATTCCCGCCTGCCCCGGAGGTGACCCACATGGCGTGGCAGACCTCTCCTGACCCGCCCGCTGCTCCCCTCAGCAGTGTACTTCGTTGATCTGCCTGTTCTGTTCCCACTCTGTCTCTGATGAAGCCTCTCACCGCCCCTGAGCCTCTGGCCTGTACCCCAGTTCTGTATGCACAATAAAAATAAATCTTTAAAAATATATATATATATATACAACTATACACTGAATTATTTTCTACTGAACCCATTAACAAGAAAAAATGTCTTTACTTCTAACATATTTGCCTTTTGCCCTCTTTGCCAATAAGTACCAAACACTACAGTATTCCATTTTAAAAGTCAAGTACCAGATGCTCCATTTATAAATGTTTTTGCCCAGCACAGCATTATCAATTTAAAGGAAAGGACCCTAGCTAGGTTTGGTTAAACCTGCAAATTATGCAGAATTCTGTTTTGGAATTCTGTTAAAATTTTCAACAACCACCTTGCTTTCACATAGTTTAGCTGGCTGAGTTGGGTGATCCGGTGTGTACGCCTATCAAATTACTAGCAGTCTGTATTTTCTAAAAGACAATGACAAAGCTATTAACTTTGAAGTGGAACAAATACACACCTGCTACAGCACAGGCAATACAAATAGCCTACATTTTTATACCTTTAGTTAACGTAAAACAAGCACACACATATATACCTATGTGCACTGAAAAATTTTAGGGAGAACTCCAAGTATTTTTTTCTGACTTTTTACTCCAAGAATTTTGATGCCTCCTATAAGAGTTTTAAAAGAAAGGAAAATTCATATTTACTTCCCATTCACCTTGGTCCAACAGAATCCTAGATGTTACTCAATAACCTGGGTTTTAATAAAAGTGACAAAGAAAACAGCATGTTTGCAGCAAATTGTTTTAATTAAGAATTTAAAACCAAAAATTTTAAAAAGAGACTCTGATATAGCAATGATTTTATTCTATATTTTAAATAATCACCAAAGTCTGGAGGTTTCAAACTTTTCGACACTGAAGGTAATTTTAAACTCTCTCACTGTCTTGCAAGTTGTCCAAGAATTAGTAACATTATTACAAACACATTCATTTCTAAAATGAGAAAGAGTAGGACCATCAAATTCTTACAAATTTAAAAACTGTATAGGCTCAAAAGGTTATTTTCACCCCTAAAAAATAAGAAACCCTAACCAAATAGACTGGGTCATAGGAGAGGGCTCACAATGTATTTATTCATTATTCATGCACAGTAAAAGCACTTTAAAAATCTTATTTGTCAACTACTAAAAGGGCGGGAGGAATGGCCAATATTGCCTTCTAGATTTGATCTCCTTTCGAGTTTTCAGCAGTAAGCGCATTAAATGTGAAATGTTTTTGAAAGGAGAGAGTCTGGCTTGTGCAGAGTCTGGAGGAAACTGAGTTTCTAAGGCAGTCCATCAGCGGGGGCCAACACTACCCCCCCCAAGGCTGTCTTCCCTAAGATTGTCAGCTGCAACATGAACACCTGAACTGATGGCTAAATCTTCATATGTGAGAAGTGTTTTGCAAGGAACAATTTTCACAGTAGTCAATGACACCATCACAATGGCCACATTAATTTGACCTTTAGATACCTGCAATGTTTAAGGCATTTACTAACAATGAAATTCATCAGATCCCTAGCAAGGTTACTTTGGACAAGTTATAGAACTTCCCCTTATTGAATATACATTTCAGAGATCAGGACAGCTCAGTTCACCTCAAAGCAATGCAGGTTTTTAAAAAGTTCCTTTTTAAAAGCTCATTTCTTCAGGATGAGTTTACATAGTTTAAAGCAGTTGTATGATACTATATGAAGATTTTATGTGGAATAAAACAATCTGTGTTCTAAAAACAGACCATAATACTTCAATGACCCAGAATACAAATATCAAGGAAGTGTTCATCCTCAGACCCAACACCAAATTCTCATTCACATGTCTCCAGGTGCTAAACTGGCAAAGTGCCTCTTTTACAAAGAAAGGCTCACTCATGCATCCCGCAGATACCAGTTTTTGTTCTTTAGGAAACCAGTGATTTTTAAAGCCACTCTCTACCCCTAAAGCAAGTCCACTGAAGAGGGAGAGAGCATGCCATTTGCACACTTAACCATTTGTGTCTGCACACAAACCATCATTCTCTTACACTAAGTTCAATAAAGACCTCCTGGCTAGGAGTCCGGGAGTGCCAGATTTCCACCAGAAATCTGACGAATGTACGTCATCGGGCTTTGTAATTAGTGAGTGCTGAAGAAAGTGGAGTTACATCTCTAATGGGTACCTTAATATTTGCCTCCTACCCCGCAATGAGCAAGACAATCTCAATTTATTAAATGAAATTTAGTCAGGTCAGGAGAGGCAGAAGGCCACCAGACATACTCACCCAAAGGCTACAACCTAGCGACCAGTCCACTGGGTTCTAAAGACAATCTTGTAATAGAAAGTGGCCGTACTGAACTCCAAAAAAACATCAGGACTGTCTGACACACTGCACTAGCACTTCAGCTACTGGAATGCATTGGAACTATGGAACTATTAAGTGATAAGTGCCCAGATGATCATTTCAAGAGAGACGATAACCCTCACCCAGCACAAATAATTCTTAAATTCACAGTTGAAATGAAGTGCTGAACTGAAAAACAACTTAGTTTTTCAAGGACTACCAAAGTTCTAGTTTCACTACACATAAAATATTGGTGTAAAACTCACTTTTGACTTGATATTCTTCCACAAAGAAAACTAAACATGAGAAAAAGAGTCTTATGTTGCAAGGGGGAAGGAGCTTCTGGGATGGACGCTGAAGAGGTTTTCAGAACAGGATGAGAACGGGCTCCGCCTGAACTTAAGAAAAGAATACTGAAAGTCAAGCATCTCTAGCCATTTAAAGGCATTTGGTGTCAGTATCTTAAAAGATTAAGATGCTTTAAAACAAAATCCTTTGTAAGATTATCAAAGATTTAGGGAATTATCTTCATAAATATCCAAATGTCTATGGCTTCAACCGTCGCCCTACTGCTGAGGTAGGTGACCAGGATTCATCAAAATAGAGCAATCTTCTGCAAATTCCCTAAGAAAAACCTTGGCTCATCAGCTGGTTTCTTAGCCTGTGTCCAGTTTCTTTTGATGGTTTTGTTTCCCTTTCATTTATACTTTCTTAAAAAAAAGCTGTCCAAGCAACCGCTTCTTCCTCTAAGCTCTTGCTGAGTAGCATCTCATGTACTCAGTCATCCACGGGTTCTCTGAAGAGGAAGCCTTTGCCTTTCTGTTCTTCTCCACATCCACAGAGTGGGCACGCTGCCTGTGGGTTACCAGTCTCCTTTTTTCTACCTGTCTTCTGTTCTTGGCCCGTAATGCTGATTCGTGAATCTTAAAGAGAGTTGAAAAATTACAACGTAATGACTCAAATGACTATCAAACAAAATAATCAAGAATGTTCACCTGCAGGTCACCTGAAGCCGAGCAGAAGGACACCCAGTCTTGTCAATTCTTCTATGGGGACAGCTTCTCCCTGGGTTCTGTGGTTCACCCATGGCAAGTGACAAAACAACAATGCAACAGAAAACATGCCCAAGCTGTAGGTCTAAGTGGCATGTCACTGATGTGCATGTTCCTTCAGAAACTGGCACTGGAAAATTACTGGAAACACTTAGCACTGAGCATGGGCAAATAACCCATCAAGTACAAAACAGATGTTTTCAGCAAAACACACACACACACAAATCTCAAGGGGATTTACCACCTAAAATGTTTCTTACTACAGATAAACCCTATGAAACTCAATCCCATGGAGTCGCCAGGGGTCTGCTATTAAACCACAGCTTTGTTGTCTCAACTATCTTTCCAAATAACACCATCTGCTAAGGGTACAGAAGCCTGCTCAGTAGAATGTGATTATGGTATTCAGTCAGATTCAAACAATTTGCACTTTCTCCCTCTGCTTCTTTGCCTTGGTCCACAGTATTAATATTAACACCAATGTGCATAATTGGTTTGTGGTTCAACACATGAGGACTGTCTCATCTGACATATTCTCGGCATGTCATGCAGGGACAAGCCAGGGCAAAGTCAGAGGAGAGATAGAGGTGCTGGGGATGAAAGACATGGGGGTGCATGAGCAGGGGAAACATAATCATTCAGCAAAAGGAAGACAGTAGAAGACGCGAGACCTCCAGGCAAAGCAAAGGGGGAAGCAGTAACAAAGGAGTCAAGGAAATGGTCCTGGCAAATGCAGATGGCAGCTCAGTCCTGGCCATGCCACCCTCTCCTGCCCCCACTCCCAAGAACTGGAGACCCCTGGCCCCAGCCACTGCTTCACCTGGCTGGGTGTCAATCAGCCCTGCAGGTACCAGCTGACTCCCGGCCAAGCCCTGACCCCCAAGCAGCCAACAAGCAGTCTCCCGTCTGCTGACCAGATGCCCAGTTTAGGGCTTTCTTGGACCCACCATGCCCTCCCCTAAGAGCCACCGTTGTCCCGGAGCACCCCCAAGGACAGAGCGCAGCGGCCCGCCTGGCAGGAGAGCAGGGGACAGGCGCACCCACCTCATGCACTGGGGCAGAAGCACAGACATTGTGAGTTTTTTGGCTTCCTGTATTAGTCTGTTTTTCTCCCCACCCATAAAGAGCAAATGGATGCTTTTCTTTTATTTTTGTTGATGACCTTTGAGGACTTTTGACTGTTTTTCTGCCTCCTCTAGCAAATAAGGCACTTTGTTGTTGGGGTTCGGTCCCCTTGCGTAACTTTTCAGTCTCTTTTGTCCTGATCTGTTGTTCAGGTTTTTCTTTGACATCTGTAGCTGGCAGTGCTTCTGAAAGAAGAGATAAAACAAGATGATAGTGCTTTAAAATCAGCTTTGCATGTAATTATTTGAATGACTGTGAAAAAAATCTTCAATGCTTAATTAAATCAGCAACATTTTCACATATGGCTCAATTCCCAAGTTTCACTTAAAGTGGAAAAATCAGAAACAAATCAGCATAATAATTTTCAGTCTTTTACACTTTAAACTCAAAAACAAATACACCAAAGCTGAACTAAATCGACTCAAAAGCAATGACTTATCACTCATGGTCTGAGATTAAGATTCTCCATTAAATATTAAAAGCCAAAAGTGCACCACGGCCTATCGAACGTGGCCACAAACCCCCAGGTACGTTGGATCATCCTACTACCTTGCTTCTGGGAAACATCTACATTTCTGCTGACCATGCAGCAGCTGCAAAAGGTGGTTTCTTAAGTTACTCAACCCAAGTTGCAGGATTCCATTTCTTTTTGATGTTCCATGATCACAGGACATGCCATGCATGGAGCATGCTTGCCCATAGCCTGCCTTTAATCTGAAAGGCCCAGTCCAGGCCAAACTCAGACGCTTTGGCTGTAGCCTGAAAATGAAGAATCACTGTGTGATTTTAAGCTGAAAATGACAGGGCTTCTTAGCAAGACCTTGCGCTACAAATGTGAAGCATGAGTTAGATCAATGAGATACGGGCCAAAAGGCCATCTAAGAGAAAATAGTAGAGTCCAGTGGTGATCTGGAAATGCTAGAAGGGGGAGAGCAGTGAAGGAACCAGAATAGTGTGTACCAAGCCTGGCATATGCTCAGACTCACCTGGGCACCTCTCTATGGTGGGGGAGGTGCTGAGGCATCTCCAGGTGAGAGAGCCCAGCAACACCAGGCTGACAGGTGAGTGATGTGGGACACAACACAGGCACTCGGGCAAAGGGGAGCCCATGGCCCCAATGGCATGGATGGTCACGCCATCCTCTGAGAGGATGGAAGGATGCTAGTCACCTCGGGGGTGAAATGGTCCAGGAACAAGCAAGCAGACAGCAGATGGCCCCTCAATCTGGGTTCAAACTGTGAGCAAGCAGGTGGGGACTGAAGCGGGGGTGTGGGTCAGGACAAAGGCAGGCCCCTCGGGACACCATAATTTAACAGCAGACAGGAAGAGGAAGGAGATTCAAGAGGGAGACACAAAGAGCTAGAAAATTAGCAAAACTTGTCAGGAGAGAAGCTGAGGAGAACTTAAGAAAAGGAAAGAGTGAGTAACAATGAAATATGCTACAGAGAGGTAGGTAGGATGAAGTGAGGACAGGAAAAGACTAACATTTGGCAGCCAGGCATCTCGGGGTGATGGAGGGGTGCCTTGGTGGAGAAGCCAGGTCACTATAGGTTTCCGAATGAATGGAAGGGAGACCCTGATTCTGGTAATGCTGGAATACTGGGCTGACCCTCCCCAACACAGGCAACTGACAGGGCAGATGTTAAAAATGAATGGTGTTCACAGGCGCCCAACACAAAAAGTCTCTGGAGACCTCAGGGCTCAAATTACTCCTACAAATAATTTTTCAAACACAACTGTGAATGTTCTGTGAAAAGATGCCCAGGATCCCAAGGAGAGACAAGAAGGAAGGACCAGCAAGAGGATCACACTTGAGCTCATGGAATTATCAGGTGTCAGACTAGAATAAATATTCTAAAGAATTAAGCTTAAAATAAAGATATTTTCAAAGACAGCATTCACCACTAATTCTGGAAGATTTTAACATTTTTCTCTGTAAGTGACAGAATAAATAGAATAACTGATAGAATAAATTCAATCTTGATTTAGGACTGTGCTGTCCACTAAAAGTCATGAACCGACTAAATATGAATTAAATAAAGTGAAATCCAAGTGAGTGTTCAGTCCTCAGTCACACTAGCCAGAGTTCAAGTGCTCAGTAACCACATGGCTGGCAGTTACCACACTGGATGGTGCAAACAGTGTGTGTCCGTCACCACAGAAAGGGTCATTCGACAGTGTTTTTGGGTTTTTTTGAGTATTTGAATGACAGAATTAGCACATTTGACCCAGTGGGAACACATAGAACACCATACCCAACAACTGCAGAGTATACAATCTTGTCAAGCATATTGGGGACACTAACAAGAATTTACACATCCAAGTCATCAAGCAAAACTTGAGGCATTTACATGACTGAAGTTATACAGACTGTATTCTGTAACTACAGTACTACTGCCAGTTACAACTACTGCTAAACATAACAACAGTAACTTGTAAAAATCCCCAGTTTTTATTGCAAAACATTTCTAGCCATAAACTGTTTTATTTACTGTGGGTACCAGTAAAATTTGATAAAGCAAACAAGAAAAACATTTCTGTAGGGTCAAAAAATACCACATGGTCACACAAAAATGTGAACGGAGTTAATGCAATTGAGCTATATAATTAAAAATGGCCCAGAGGGGTAAGTTGTGCTGTGTCTATTTTATTTATTAAAAAAAAAAAAAAAAGAGGGCCCTCCCTGGTGGTGCAGCGGGTCAAAGCACAGCACTAAGAAGCTTAAGCTACTTCCGCGTGAGTTTGATTCCCGCCTGCCCCAGAGGAGATCCACATGGCGTGGCAAACCTCTCCTGACCCGCCCGCTGCTCCCCTCAGCAGTGTACTTATCAGTCTGCCTGTTCTGCTCCCCACTCTGTCTCTGGTGAACCCTCTCACTGCCCCTGCACCTCTGGCCTGTACCCCAGTTCTGTATGCATAAATAAATAATTTTTTTTAAAAAAAGACAAAAACAGTCGTGACAGAGGGCATTCCGTTCTTAATATTGACCTTAATATTGAAATGGGTGCTGGTGTGTGTCTGAGGTTGGAGGCGGCAGAGCCAGAATCTTGGAAAGTGAGTATGAATTTAAAATTCAAAGCCAATAGTTGAGTTTAAATAGGAAGAGAGTGGTCAATGATGACAGGAAAACTGAAAAAAAAAGAAGGATGTGGAGAAGTGTGGGGAGCAGGTCAGGGTTACTTTTTTCATTTTATGCATATGTTTAAGAAGCATGCATTTGTATAATTTTGCTTAAAAATAAAATTTATTTTTAAAACATGAATATGAAGAAGAGGACTGGAGATCATCAAGGCACTCTTCAAAGGATGGTGGGTGCGGTGGGAAGGAATCCCACAATTAACAAGCACCCCTACCTCACTGAGGATCATTAGCTATTTGAGAAAAGTCTAACATGAAACACAGGGTTACAGGCAAAAGGAAGTCAAAGCAGGGAAACAGACTACACTGAAGACACACCCCAGAAGAAGAAAGCAAACTTCTAGTGATATCCTCGGTAAGATAAAAGAAGATATTATGTGCGTGCATTAAACACAGAACACTATTGTCTAAAGCAGGACTAAAAAGATGACAGGGAGGAGAGAAGAAATGCCCAGAAAACAACTCAAGAGCTCTAATATTAATAATAAAAACAACAACTAGGATTCCACAAGTGAAAAATGTAATGGAAGAGTAGGAATAGTTGGTTGAGGCTATTGCCCAGACAAATAGAAGGCAGATAAAAATTATATTGGGGGTCAGAAAGACTAGAGGATAATTTCATGAAGCATTATTCCCAAATACAGAGTTCAGAAAGATGGAAACAGAAAAACAAAATCAAAATGAGAAAAGAACTCAAGAGAATGTCCCAAAATACAAAACGTAAATTTAACTACAAGGACCACCAGGCACATTTGGAGGAAAACAACAGAACCTGATCAAGGAAAAATCTCAAAAGACAAAGAATAAAGAGAAGACCCTAAAAGTTTCATGGTGGGAAACCCTAAGTGTCTCATCCTTTGTTATGTACAGAGGATGAAGAATCAGAATAGCATGGGACTAGAGCAGCAACAACAGGAGTTACAACACAATCCAGCAATGACTTCTGATTTTTGAAAGACAATTATTTCCAACCCAGAATTCCATACCCAGCAACAAACTCAACAACATGGTGAAGGTGGAATACGCCATCTTTTGACATGTGTGCTCTCAGAAAATTAACCTCTCATACATCCTTTCTCAGGATACTAAAAGGTAACCTCTACCAGGAGGGGCAGAAACCAAGAAAGACGTGAGAGCCACACAATAGATGCTTGGACCCAAGAGAGAAGTCAAGAGTCCCTGGGGTGGGGGCCAAGGGCCCTCCCAGATGTAAGCTGGCAGCAGACCACAAAAGCAGCATCCAGGTCAGATGCAAGTAGGTCGGGGCCCCTGGGAGGGATCTTGATGTTAAGAGTGACAGTGAACCTGATGTGTCAGTTGTGTTGTGAAAGAGAAGGGAATTATGGCAGACTTTACAGGCAGATGAGAGCAGCCTCTCCGGGGGCCGGCCTTATAGATACTGATTATGATTCTGACAAATTCTATGATGTCTGTATCAAGAGGGTCTGAGGATGGGACACATGTCTGAGTTAGGAGAGAGGCAAAGTTAAAGGCAAGAGAAAATGCAAAAAATAATAAACTGAGAACAATCCAGAAGTCTCCAACTATGTTCCATGGATACATAGATATAAACCCTAAGGAAAACAAAGGGATTGGAAGGGGTCACGGAAGGAAGACACTGTGTGGGAGGTGGGAGAGCAGCTCTATCTTTATAATAAGATTTCTGATTCTATGTGCATACATGGTTTAGTTAAAATAAAAATGTTCACCAAAAAGTAACCAACTTAGCCAGTTTTAATTGTGAAACAATAAAATAAAGGATTACTTCTCTTTTTAAAAAAAATCAAGAACTAAATGTTTGTCTTACAGAAACCCAGAGAGTTTTCGCGATTCTAATATCTATATGTAATATAACCATGCACTTAAAAACAAGGAGATTCACTAGTGACAGACATGGGAATCAACAGGGCCTGTGGCGGAAAGGAATGGAGCAAAGGATGGGACTACTGGAAGTCTTGAGGCAGAAACAGGCTTTCTTAGTGCCTAAACCGGAAATGTTAGCCGAGAAAAAATAAGCTTAGCTACAGGGAGGATTCAGTATCTCCCAGGAAACCAAAATAATCACGAACTCGGGCAAACACAGACACCATCTTCCTACAGTACTGTCCACAATTGTATTAATAGGTGTGGGAATACTGACAACTCTTTCACAGAGAAGGGGAAGAATCAGGAGAAAGCAGACCCATTTAGTGTATCTCCTGATTTACCTGGTTGACCAGTGCAGGGGTAAACTGAAAGAGGTGTGCCCCTACCAATACCACCTCTGGTATCTGAGTCTTCAGCAATGATGGCTGAAGCTAGGATGTAGCTTCCAGATATTCAGGAATCTGTGGGAATTCACAATTAGCATGAGGCTGGATGGAAGCTCTGCCACAGGGATGTCCTAGAAGTGGCTGAAGATGGAGAAACAAGAGCAAAGTAGCCTGGCTGGTACAGTAAAGTCCTCTGCCTCTCAGAGTGACTAGGATGAAAGTCTGAGAGTTTGAGTAATTAACACAGTGCAGAAAACAGTCACTGATCGTCATGAGATTTCATTTACTAGAACGAAAATAAACTAAGAGCTTATCTCTTGGAACCGTTTTAAATGTTGAATGAGAAAATAATAAAGCAGTGATTGGATCTATAATAAACTCAACAAATTTTAGCTATTTATCTCTTTAAGATGACATGAACTTCGTTAGGAAGGAACCACTGGTTACTCCAAACTGTGTCAAAAGAGTCCAAACGGGCTCTTAGCACAAGCCACCATCCATCTGGCCTCGAAAGCTAAGAGCTGCCAACTCTGCAGCCCTGGGCAGGAAATATGAAGGCCCTGGTAGAAATCTCATTTGCACAGCACCCAGGGGCTGTTGTGGCTCCAGCTCGTTTGCAGATGCGCGCTTTCGGATGAGTGGGTGGGCAAGAAGCAGAGAATCCGTCACTTGCAAGGAAGATTCTCCCACCAGCCGGGAGTTACGCAACAGTCTTCGTAAACACATGCAAAATATTCTTTAGGGACAGCGCAGCGCGATCAGGGAGTAAGTACAGAAAACAACGACCTCATTCATAAGACTGAAAGCTTAGCTCGGTGGTTCTCCACCTCTTGAGGTCAGCCGTGGAGAATCTGATGAAAGCGGGGCTCCTTTTGTGAAAAATGGGAGCTCGGAAATAAATATTGAATAGATGGGAGTTCAATGGCAACCACAGCCCCCGGGGCGAAGACCCGGCCTTCGCCAGAGGTAATTCAATGGAGTCACTGCAGGCTCCAGCCAGAGGCACCTAATTAAGGAAATAAAGGGTGGGAGGATGAGGCGGGATGACACCCTCCTTATTTTGACAAGAAAGGCCGTTTCTTCGTGAAAGGAACAAAAACAAAAGAGAGGAAGCGCCCGCCCGAGAGGTGCAAAACCGAGCTGCGCAATTCGGGTGCCGAGTGCAAATCCAGTCCTCCGACCCCGCCGGCCCCTCGCAGCCCCCCTCCCGGGCCCGGTACCTGGCGGGGTCGCGTCCTCCGCCTCTTCCGCGTCACCGGCCTCCGCGCTGTCCTCCGCCGAGGTCCCGAGCACCCGCGGTTCCGGCCCCTCCCG